TCAGTAATAATCAGTATTAACCCATTGAGTTGCATTTTTCTATCTTAATCATTGCACCCTGATGTGTCAACTTAAGTACTTTATTATTTTACTAAAATTGTCTGTACCAGTGTTGGTAGTACCAGTGTGAAAATGCTGTGCTGAGTGGTTATATTACTACCTTAAAAAATAAGCAGAAACTCGACGTTTAGAGCGAAGGCCCTTCGTCAAGAGTTAGTAGCCTTTATTATTTTACTCTGTCTAATATAACACCAGACGATGTTAACTGGCCTGTATGTGCCCATGTGTGTTGTTAACCCATTGAGTTGCATTGTGCCCTACTTTATTATTTCACTCTGTCTAACGCCAGAAGATTTCACTTGTTAAGGGGGAGAACGCTGGCACATTAATTTAATGGTTTAACCCCCACCCCCCAACCTACCCAGGGAAAGGTGGGGATTTGTTTTTACCACCTTTAAATCACACACAAAAGTCCCCATACCCAAGGAATAACTTTACAATCAAAACGTGAACTCAAATTCAAAACTCAACTCAAAAACAAATTTAAAACATTATAAAAAAGAAACAATAAAATAATAACAGGTATTTTATGAAAACCTCTTCATATTATTCTCACACTGCAGAGAACAATGGAGAATTGGTTAACTCAAGCAGGATTTGCATGAACTCGCATCTTCGTGTTTCTAGGATGTTGCTCAACCAAATGAGCTATCATCACTATTGTGTCAATTGAAATGGTAGTGATCGAAACATGCACAAAATACCTTTGCGATGGCTTATTGCTTGTATTGGACAATTATCACTTATTTACTGAGACCGAGGGAAACAGTGTGTTTTGTGGACCCGAGACCGTCGATGTTTCCCGAGGTGAAGCCGAGGGAAACATCGACGGTCGAGGGTCCACAAAACACACTGCTTTCCTGAGGTCTCAGTAAATAAGTGTTTTATTATATATCAATAGTCAAAGAAACAACAAATTAAAGAACAAATGAACGTAAATACATGAAATATTTTATTGTT